CATCTGATGCCGAGCTCTGAGCGGTTTCATTATCGCACACTTTGTCTGTTTGTGTATATGTGTGAATTTGTGTGCATGCGTCTACCTCGCTTTGCCTGGCTGCTCAAAGGAGACATAAATAAGATTGGACATTAAAAAAGCGTGTTTCTACGACAACTCACTAATGAATGATTTTTGCCCAACTAGCAGTCTGAAAATTATGAACAAAAGGTCCCTCTGTGTTTTGTTGAATAGATCCCAGTTTTGTCTTTCCTTTACTTTTGTGGGCTTGACCGCCTTTTATTTCTCTTTTAACTCGGCTCATTATTTGATAATTAAATGACTGGAGTCACTCGGGCTCTTTTTTTTTTTTTTTTTTTTACAGAGTCAGTCGTTTTGCTTGAACAATTGGGATCAGGAGACAATGAGTGGAGGACAGACAGTCATTATGAGGATTGGATCTGAACGCTGGCCTCCTGCAAAGTAATTAGACAGTAATGAATAGTTACAATGTAATTACTAGAACAAAAAACAGAAAAGGATGCCGCTTTTCAATTACCATCACGTACCATCATTTCCCCTCGGCCTTTAGCTGCGTTCTGTAAGTAGCACTCTAATCATGTTTTCACCTAGATGAATGGTTCAGAGTGTTAAATAATGTATGGGTTATGGCTATTGAGTCGCCCTCAGGCTCTTCTCCCGCCATTGGCTTTGAGACGCCCAGCTGTCTACACGAGCAGAAATGTTGCTGTTTTGTATTGATCTTTCCATACATGACCTGACATCTAAAAGTCACATTCGAAGCAAACGTTATCACCACAAGTGGTTGAGAATTGATTTCATCTTTTAACAACAGCCATATGCAAGTGAAACCAGCTAATTTGACTAGACAAAATGTGCTTCCAGCCCTGTTTCCAACTTCTTTGAAGTAGAATCCGGTGCTGTTTTGAACATCAACAACCGAGACCAAAAGAATCATAAAAGACATTGCATCAGATCATCATAAAACCGACATTTATGAGTCCTGGAGGTGTTTTTAGTCTGCCTGCGCTCATGTTGTTTTTCGTGTCCGGGATGTGTCCCCATTGAGGTGTTCGAGGCAACTTTGTGAAAGAAGTTTCCACTGGTAACTTATTTAACAGCAGTTTGTTGATATTTTGCAAGGCAGGCCTAAGAGCACGGACCGAATGCGTGATCATTGTTCCTGATTAGATCCACTCTCTACCCATGACACACTGCTCTGTCTGTCGCCAAGGGTACTGTGGCCTTTGAACATCTCGGCGAATTATTCACGCAGTTGTAATTACCTGCTATACCTAAAACTCTTTTTCAAAGTTTATACTCAGATTTACTGTAGATTCAAGACTGAAATGGCTCAGAGCTTTCCTAACAAGTTTCTATTTTCAGAGGAACGTGCAGAGTGGCCAATTTTCTTTCAATCACAGCCATATAGGACATTATGCTAATGTCACGTTTCAGGCTTCCTTTGAAGTGCAACACTTTCCCCCTGCAGCATGCTATTTTTGGTTAACCTTTCACTGACAGCAGATCCGACTGACGAACTTTACCATAAAATATGAAATGACCAGTACAGCTGTTTGAACCCACTTCAACCCTAAAGTTAACCACCTGTCAGAGGATTAATTCAACGTGCAACTTACAGGTATGACACCACTCTGCTGCTGCATTGCCAGTCCAGTTGTCAGACATCAAAGACGATGAAATGCATTTTGTTTGTGCAATATTCTCCACACAATTTCTGCAGGGTTCAAATCCCACACCTCTTAAAAGTTATACGAGTCTCTTCAATTTTATATGAGTACATGAGCCAGACATCTGTCCAGTGTCTCATGTAAGCAGAGGCAATAGAACAGGATGATGAAATGAAGGAGAGACATTGTAGAGATGATGGAAAGTGGGTGATATGAACAATAAAAAGGATGGTGATAGGCCATAAATGACCACAATGATGATGTCACCTCCTGTAGTAAAGCCTTGCATCTCAGATTTCCTTTCCTTTCGGAGAAAAATTGAGGAATAGGATGGAAAATTTCACGTTTTTGTTGCGTCTATGTGGGTGAGACTGTATATTTGAGTGTGTTCTGGACACACTAACTCTGTGTCCGTCAGCAAATCCGACTTCAGCGATGGTCACAGTAGCAGTTCAACCAGAGTTATTTCTAATCCCATACTGAGACTGCAAACATCAGCGCTGAGAAAGAGTGGGAGAAACTGACAGAAGAGAAGAAAAAGAAACAAAGGAAATAATAGAAACCCTAAAATTCATTAGGGTGGTGATGTCACCCCTGAGAAGTCGGTGACCTCATCAGAAAGGAACGGGAGTGGTCAGAGAGAAAGGGCTAAGTGTTATCTGGGGGGCTGTATCTGGATCTGCTCTGACGCCCTTGACTGAACCACTATGGTCCTTGTACCTGCATGACTGGTGATAAGGAGGATGACGCATCTGTGCTCTCTGCTCGAAGTCTTAACAGTGACGGCTATTCGTCATGCAGCCCGGGTGGAAGTTCGATAACAGATTTTTTACTGTTGGTCAGTAAAACATATGCATTGTAAAATGAATGATACTAAGGTGTAAACCACTAACCTCTTGTAAAGAAAGAATTACTCAAACTTATACAAGGAACATAAACACTTGAGTTGAGAAAACGCACAGTACAACACATTGTTGAGCATTGAGCGAGTGAGATCCATGCTTCCCTTTGTGACGGACATCGAAGGCCGTCCTTGCAAACTGAACATTTCCAAGGACAAAACATGTTGTTTTGTAATATTCATACTAGCATTTCCATTATATATATATATATATATATATAGTCCCCACAGCTGAGCTGATGTTGATTTAAGCCTAATGCACTGCTGCATTATTCTATTTTCTATATACGTATATATTTAAACACACACACACACACACACACACACACACACACACACACACACACA